CCCCCACCTTCCCTCTGAGATTCGTCAGTCTACAACTGTAATTTTATATCTCTATCTCTCTGCCACTGAGCTTTGCTTTTTTCACACTCCACTTAGATGTCTTACAGGCACTTCAAACTCAGCGCATCCAAAGATGAACCTACCCTCTTTTCTCCTAAATTTGCTCTCCCTCCGGTGTTTCCTATCTCAATAAAAATAAATAAATAAATAAATAAAAACAAAAAAAAACAAGGCAGAAACTTGGCACCTACCATAGTCCCTGACACATAGTAGGTTCTCACTAACAATTGTATAATGAATGAATGTGTCTTTCACAGACTTTTTTGTACAACAATGTTAATCCAGTATTACTTAGAATAATCAAATACTAGGGAAAAAACCTAGTGGTTCAATGGTTAAGTAAATTAGTTTAGTCACACAATGTAATATTATATAGCCAATAAAACAGGTACAGTAGTCTCTCCTTATCCATGAGAGATACATTCCAATACCCCCAGGGGATGCCTGAAACCACAAGTAGTACTGAACCCTATATATACTATGGTTTTTTCCATATACATACATACCTTTTCATTTAAAGGGAGAACTTTACGGCTTCTCTTTTGGTATATTTGAATTGCTAGCATCACTACTCTTGCACTTTGGGGCCATTATTAAGTATAATAAGGGTTACTTGAATACAAGCACTGCAATACCATGACAATTGATCTGATAACCAAGATAGCCAGATATTAATAATTGGGCACAAAGTATACAGTGTGGATACAATAGACAAAGGGTTGATTAGCATCGTGGGTGGGATGGAGCAGAAAAGCATGCGATTTCATCACACTACTCAGGATGGCACACAATTTAAAACTTACGAATTGTTTATTTCTGGAATTTTGCATATATTTAATATTTTCAGACTGCAGTTGACTGTGGGTAACTGAAGCCATAGAAAGCAAAATGGTAGATAGTGGGGACTACTGTATTTACACATAGTTCATAATGACAGGAAAATGCTTATGTCTAATAGTAATTGAAAGTAGAATACAACATTTAATATAAAATAGGATCACTACAATTAATGGAAATGGAGGATATGCATGGAAAAAAGGCTAGAAAGAAGTATGCAAAATATTAATAGTGGTTGTCTCTAGGTGGTGGGAATAAATGAATTTTTCATTTTCCTCCTACTTTTCTGTATTTTTCAACTTTCTTATAATGGCATGTATAGCTTTGATAATATAAAACATCTGTTTTGAAACTCTTTAATAGAGAAAGAAAAAAATTTAATTCTAGAAGACAAAACAGTAAAATTCAGCTCCCAGGGTCTACCAAGTGTTTTCTTTTGTACTTGAAACCTTCAATACCCTGCCCACAGCCTGAAGTCGCCACCTCCATCCTTGGGGCCTCTCTGCTCGGCCCTGGGCTTTGAATGTCTTCGCCTTCTTAACCTGGCCTGCAAGAACTCAGACCAAGCACTTCTCTGCTCCTTCTTTGTAGGTGGTGCTTGGCAGGAGCTGGAGATGCCCTCAGCCAGAAGGGACTTCAGAAAACATTTAGTTCAGTCTTCTTATTCCACAGCAAAATTTCCAGATATTATTTCAAGTTTGTACTTCTTTATACGTGTGCAGTTTCTCATTCTCCAAGGTCCACCTCATTAAAGAGGATGTGTGAGTGCCTGATTCCTTTACTCTAAGACAGTATCACTAAACCAGCTGCAAATGCACAGAGACAAACATAGACAATGAACCAAAACAAAGTTAGCCAATGGCCTGTTTACACAGATTCTATGCTTTGCAAACTACTGTCTATTTCTGTGTGATCCTCTACATTTGCCACAAGGATTCTGTGCTTAAATTCTTATGCCAAATATTGTGAGGATTTCAATGCAAGCAGTGCCAGGCACCATCCTGTGCAATAATGTAAACAGGAACCGATGGATTATTACGCTATGGATAGTATGTAAGCTCCTGTCCCATAGTGAATGATTGGATTCAATGAATGGTTTGGTTTTACCACGTTGAGGGAGTTCTGGCAAGTGCAAGCTGAAAAGATGGAGTTTTTTCTCAGGCCCAGGTGACAGGATGCCTCAGTATTGAGCAATTGCTCTTTTTGAAAAGTATTGAATATTTCAAAAATACATAAATGTATAATGAATAATTTAACAAGCCTATGCCCACTACCCAGCTTAAGAAATAAGGCATTACCATTGCAGTCCTAGCCTTCTGTATACACCTCCATCCCGAGGTTTTCACTCTCCCAGATTTGATCTTGCTCATTTATATAGCTGTCTTTATACATTTACTACATATGTGTCTATTCCTAAACGATATGTAGTAGTTTATATAGATAATATAACTCTGTATTTTCTGCAGTTTGCTTTCCTCAGTTAACATTATGCTTATGAGATTTATCTCTGTTGATAAGTGTAGCTCTAATTCATTTTCACTGCTATAGAGCATTTCGGGCATAACAATATTGTAAATTATATGTGTTCTCTTATTGATCAGGTACTTTTCAATTGCCAAAGTCTTAATTCTGAATGCTGGGACACTCCCTCATCATGTCTTGTTGAGTAATAGTTTACTTTTGAAAAGAAATGATCAAAAATAGAAGGCTTCCCAACTGAGCATATTTAGCACACTAGTGGTCTATCGTGAGTACAGGGTGTAAAAAGTAGACTCAGTCTCTTATTCAGTAAAGATCAGGGTTTCTCCACCTCCACACTATTAACATCTTGGACCAGATAATGCTTCACTCTCAGGGGCTATCCTGTGCATTGTAGGATATTTAGCAGAATCTCTGACATCTACCCACTAGATGCCAATAGTGACAACCGAAAATGTCTCCAGCTATTGCCAAATGTCCTCAGTTTAGAACCATCAAGATGTACTGAGCACCCTTTATGCAAAGCACTTTAGTAGGTGCTATGGGGAGAAATAAGAAGAATAAACACTGAAATTATTTTTAAAAAGTCCTTTTATTCAAAGATATGTATTGAGCATATACTATGTGGAAAGTATACTGTGCTAGGCACTGGGATTTTGGTGACTCCTCACGGCGTTCACCATTTATTGCATGGGGTGGGTAGAGACAGACAAACCATAAACATACAATTATACAATTATAATATAATGTATAAAGTGCAAAGCTGGGGAGATACACAGGATATGTGGGAGGACATAGCAAGGCCACTTACACCAGCCTGGAGGGGAGTGGTCAGTGAAGAGTTCCTGCAAAAAGTAATCTTAAAATATGAATAGGAATTAGCTAGACCAAAAAGATATTTTAGGCAGAAGAATAGTATAAGCAAGAACAAAAGGCTAGAAACATTAGGCCTACCCAAAGGAAGTGGCATTGGAGCATAACGTGTAAGGAAAAAATGATCACAGACGAGGCTAGAAAGATGGTGTATTAGTGTACTAGAACTGCCATAACAAAGTGCCACAGACTGAGTGGCTTCAACAACAGAAACGTATTGTCTCACAGTTCTAGAGGCTAGAAGTCTGAGATCAAAGTGTCTGCAGGGTTAGCTCTTTCTGAGGGGTATGAGGAAGAATCTTAAAAGTTTTTAGCTCTGCATTATCAACCTCCAAAGAACAAGCCAGTCCTGCAAACCAGTCCCCCTCTTCTAGCTTCTAGTGGCCTGTTGGCAATCTTTGTCATATCTTGGATCACAGAAGCATTACCCCTTCTCTGCCTTCATCTTCACATGGCAGTTTCCCTGTGCATGTGTCCCTGTGCCCAAATTTCCCCTTTTTATAAAGACAGCAGTCATATTGTATTAGGGCCCACCCAAATGACCTAATCTCAACTAATTACATCTGCAATGACCTTATTTCCAAGTTAGGACACATTCTGAGGTACTGGGGTTTAGGACTTCAACATATGAATTTTAGAAAGGCGCATAATTTCACCTATAACAGATGGGTAAGGATTAGAACTGCAGAGGCCTTGTGAGCCATGTTAATGAACATAGATTTTATTTAGTAGCTAATTACAGCCTTTCAAAGAGCTCTGGAGTTCTCTACTCCATCATTTTTTGTGACATCACTAAAATCATTCTTTTTTATGACTAAATAATATTCCACTGTATGAATAGGCCACATTTTCCTTATTCATTCATCAGTTAATGGCCATTTGGGTTGTCTGTACATTTTGACTATTGTGAATAATGCTGGTGTAAACATTCACGTGTGAGGGGTTTTTAAATGTCATATGTTTTCAAATGTCTTGTGTGTGTACCTAGAAGTGGAATTGCTGGGTCATACAGTAACTCTGTATTTAACCCTTTGATGAACTGCCAGACTCCTTTCCAAAGTGGCTGCACCATTTTACATTTTCACCAGCAATGTATGAGGGTTCCAGTTTATCGACATCCTCGATAACACCTGTTATTGGTTTTTTGATTACAGACATCCCAGTGGGTGTGAAGTGGCATCTTGTGTAGTTTTGGTTTGCCTTTCCCTAACAACTAGTGGTGTTGACTATCTTTTCATGTACTTTTAGCCATTAGTATATCTTCTTTGAAGAAATATCTATTGAAATTTTTTTGTCCATTTTAATTTGTCTTTTTATTATTGAGTTGTTAACAGTTCTTTATACATTTTACTTGTATTCTTGAAAAGCAAGGGTGGGTGGGGAAAAGGGAGAAGAACATTCTTAGGTGGGGAACTAGCACGGAGTTGTGTGCAGATGTCAAAAGCAAGTTTTGCCCTTTGATTCAAGAGGAGAATTTGGGGTCAAGAAAATGGACTGTATCTTATTAAGAGTGGGTCCTTTGTTGTTATGGCCCAAACTAAGTGAGTGCAGGACTGGTTTGTTCTTTGGAGGTTGATAACGCAGAGCTAAAAACTTTTAAGACTTATTCAAAGACTTGTTCTGAGTGGTCATTCATTCTAATAAAATACCTCTGGAGAGAAGAAAACCCTTACTTCCCAGGATATGAAAGCAAAAAGATAGGGGTCTCTTGTTACAAAACACAATGACCATATTTTAGTTTTAGTTTTCTTTTACACTCAAGTGATGTTTGACACTGTTGTGTATTCCTTCCTTGTTAAGTTCTCCTCTCCTACAGCTTCTGAAACATCAGTTTTCTGGCTATCTTTCTTAATCTTCTCAGACCCTACTTTCCCTGCGCACACCTTAACTTCTAAAGCTTAAATGTCACATTAATTCATTCAGAAGAAGTCTGAGGGCACTAACATTTACTAGTGCCTGTTATGTGCACTGTTTTTAAGAGCTGGAAATGTAGCAGTAAACAAAAAAAGATCCTGAATGCATGGAGCTTAAGTTTTAAGTCAACGAAAAATAAGCAATAGCACTAATAGCACATATAGCACTGTTATTCTACATACTGTTCTAAGGTATTTATCTACGATACACACACATTTAGTCCTCACAAAAATTCTATGATGTAGATACTCTTATTATCCCTGTTTTACAAATAAAGAAACTGAGGCACAGAGAGGTCAAAAGGTTAAGTCAGGAATTGAAGCCAGGCGTTATGGCTCCAGAGTTAAGATTGTTCACTAGTACTCCATGTTGCCTCTCAAAAATAAATAAATATATCAACTAGTACTTGCTAAGAGGTAGCCAAACTAGTATTTCAATTATCATTCCTCACCATTCAATTCCAGTCTACATAAGAGAATTCTAGAGATCAACTGGAGGAAGAGAAATGATTTTTAAAGTAGAAAGTGCTACTGTTCCTCTGCTAAAGCCAAGTAAAAGGACCCCAATTAAAACTTTCAAGAGGGAACACTGGCTTCTTACTCCCAGGCTGGAGTCTTGCTATCCTACAGAAAAAAAAAAAGTTAGGTCTCTTGACTGTGTTGCCACTGAAGCAGGAAGAGATCATGGGAGAACCTTTGGACACAAAGGGTCATGTGTGCTTTGGTGTCTGCAGAAGATAGACACTTGTGCTTGACTTTTACCTGAAGAAATCTGAAGGCAGAAGGCTGGTTGAAGTTGTTCACAACCGCAGGGCAAATGTCTAGACTTCTAAGGTAGCAGGTTTTCTATGGCCAGGTGGTTTTCTCTGATTGTAGCTGGCAACTCCTACAGAAGAATGAGGATCCCGTGAGAAGAAAGTTGTGTGGACAAGAGTCAAGGGGGAAAGCATTGCTCCCATTAGGAATGATACAGGGAAGAGGTCCCCAGTAGGGGGATAGGGAGTGAATGGGGTCCCTGTTGGAACCACAAAAACACATCACTCAAAAAGGCAGTATTTGGGCATCTTCTTCACAAAGGGTATTGATAGCCAGATTATACTGGCCCCAGGCAATTAAGCCTCTCACTGTCCCTTTAAGGCTTCCTCTCCCTCTCCACCCCACCCCTGAATGCTGGAGGAACCAGAAGCAACATAGCAAGCAGGGGAAGGGTGGAGCAATGAGAGTGAAAGAACAGACCAAGTCACTTTTCTTTATTAGAGATCTGTGGGATCTCTAGTTGAGCTGCACTGGAGGTTGGGGGCTAGAGGAGAAGGTTTAAATTGAATGAGGTAAAAAAAAAAATTTTGATATCAAATGGTTAAACATTTTAATGCCTATGAATTAAACTATTGTAAACATCTGAGAGTAACCAAAAAGCTAATGGGTCACATGCATAACATAATATGGGATAGTGACATGTTACCAAAAAATGCACAGTAAAGGGACAGAGAGCAATAGGGGTGATATTTTATATATGTTAGTGAAGGAAAACATCTCAGAGGATGTGACACAAATGAAGTGAAGAACAAGCCATAAAAATATCCTTAGCCTTTATCTCTTTTCAGTATACACATCCTTTTTTGAAAATTTATCTTTATTGTTAATCTTGAATCGCAACTCTAAATTTTCTCCTAATCTTCGGACTCATATACTTACTGCCTATCAGATAGCCCCACCTCCGGGATTACAACCATCTCAAATCAACTTTTCCAAACTTAAACTTCATCTTCCTTCCAAACCTCTCTGACTCGTCTTTTCCATCCTTAATGAAGAGCGCTACAAGTAGCATTAGCTAGAATCTGTCCCCAAGCCTAACTAGTCCCCATACCCTATTGTTCTCATCACCTAAATAGATCCTGAATGCCTTCCCACTGCCACTACCCTAACTTAACACAGTCATCTCTTGCTTGGACTGCAACAATAGCCTCCTGATTAGTCACCCTACTTCTTATCTATTTTCCACACTGCTGCTGAAACAATCATCCCTAAATCCAAACAGGATCATGGAGAAACTCAATGGCTCTTGATGGTTCTCAGAATTTTTTCATGTGGCTTAGAAGGACTTTCATGATCTGCTTTCCATCTGTCTTACAAGCTGTCTCTTTCAAGACTCCTTGTTCCTGAGCACTCCTCTCCCAGCCAATCTATATGATTTATTTGCACTTCCCTCCAAACCCCAAATTCTCTATGTCTCTTCTATTCTATATCTTCTCCAGGCTAATCCTTATTCATTCAACTCTAATGTGATCTTTTCTGGAAAGGCTTCCCTGCACCACACGAAGATCGGTGCCCCTCCTCTGTGCTCCCATTGTCCCATAGCACCATTTACATATTTCTGACATTGCACTTACTGCACTGCATTCTTATTGTTCACATGGTTGGACCTCCCACCGAAATGTGAGCCCCTCCAGAGCAGGGCCTATGCCATTAATCTCTGTATCCATAAGGCCTGGCATATAAAATAGGCTCTCTCTCAAAATCCAGGCTGTTCCTCTGCCTAAACTCTTCTTTCCCACGCTCATCCATGTCCTTTAAATTTCCAATAAGTCCCAAATATTCCACTAGTCTACCCCTACAAGGATGTTTGTGTGCTAAAGAGCTAGCAAATTTGTTCCTCCTAGGACTGCTTCTCAATCAAGAACAATGTGGCCCCTCTCCTCGGGGGACATTTGGCAGTGTCTGGAGACACTTCTGGTTGTCACAACTCAGGGAAGGAATGGGGTGCTACTGGCAACTAGTATGTAGAGGCCAGGGATGCTGCTAAACATCTTATAGTGCACAGCACAGACACCCGCC